AACTTATATGAAGCCCCCATTAATTCTCTCTGAGAAAAAAGAAGGCATCAGATCATTTTGTTTTTCTCACTCTCTTCCCGATAACATCTCAGAAATATCCATAACAAAGGAAGTTTGTTCTATCAGTGAGAGAATTCAATGCAAATAGGAGTATGGGGGAGTAGGGTCGGGAGGGGGCCTCTGTCGTCACGTAGTTCACTTCTAATGAGCTGGTTATCTGAATCGGGTGTGTTTACTAAGCGAGACATGCAAAATATGCAGAGCGGGGTGGCGCGAGGACTGTAATTGGGAACCACTGGGCTACATCATGTGTCATTCACAGGCGAGAAAACTTTAAAAGTACTACAATACCAGGAAGGAAGATCGGGTTGTTGATGTTTGTCTGCCATTCTCGCTCTGTCTGCACAGCGTGCGTGAACGCGCTGATGACGTATCCTGTCTGCGCGAACCGGGTGCGCAGAGGTATGCTAATACATACGTTGACAGGCAGGACCGAGCTCGGACCGAGCGTTTTGATTGGACGAACATTTATTGGTCCTACGCCTTCCACAGAATATATACAGATAAATACATTTAGACCACTTAAAATAATGATTGCTATCGGGATGTGAAGAGACTTTCAACCAGCATAACAAAAAATGTTTCTGAAGACAATCACCTATTGCACCTTTAAGTAAAAGTTAAATGATTCTTTCATTTAGCACTACCTCAAATAATTAGTTTCTTAGGTTGACTTTAATAGGATGATTCACATAACAATAGAAATTCTGTCGTTTACTCACTCTCAAGTACATCAAAACCTATATGACTTAAATTTCTTCTGCATGTGGTGCACAGAAGAAATAAATTGAAGGGAAAAATACTGTGATCTTTGCTCTTTTCCATGCATTTATGAGAAATGTGGACTGTAGCTTCAAAAACGCCTTCAAAGTGGTTAATATCGCTTCATGTGAGGAAGTGACTAAACTTTAAAGGGGTTATATGATGTTGCTAAAGAGAACATTATTTTGTGTATTTGGTGTAATGAAATGTGTTTATGCGGTTTAAGGTTCAAAAAACACAT